CGGGCCGATGAAACTCGTGCGTATGCGGACTCAGATAAGGCTCGTGTAGTGGAGGAGCAGTATGCAGGGGCATTTTTATGTGAGGCCGCGTTGGCTAGCGTTGAGCGTATCCCCAGCGTACCTGGGGGTTCTTATTTAGCTGAGTTCACTGTGGTGGAAACGCAAGTCCTTAAACTGCTGCAAGCTCTGAACCCTTCCAAAGCAGCCGGACCTGATTCAATTCACCCGAGGCTTCTGCTTGAGTTGGCGGTGGAACTAAGTGGACCGCTGCCGATGGTGTTTCAGAAGTCACTTGGCAGCTGTACATTACCTTCTGAATGGAAGGAGGCTGTCACCTGTCCTATCTTCAAAAATGGCGACAGGAATCTGTCAGCCAATTATAGGACAGTCAGTCGGACTAGCGTCGTGGTCAAACTGCTTGAAAAGCTGGTGAGAGATTCGTTGAAAGGTCACCTGAATAGATTTAATCTACTCAGGAGTGCACAACACTGATGCCGGAAGGGGTTTTCGTGCCTGACGATTTTTTGGTTGCTCGTGAGGCTTGGGCCGAGGCAATGAACAATGGCCACGTAGTGGAGGTGCTTTTCGTAGACTTCTCGAAAGCATTTGATAATATAATCACTTGAGGCTATCACCAAAGGCTGAGCTCCTACGGTGCATCCGGCCGCGCCCTTCTCTGGTTATCGGCGCTTTTGCAGGTGGGAGAGCAGTGTGTACGTGTGGGTCGCAGCTTATCCTTTAGGCAAGCTGTCCTTAGCGGTGTCCCACAGGGCTCGGTCGTTGGACCGATGCTGTTCTCTATCTACATAAACGATCTCCCTGGAGAGCTTGGGGTATCATCCCTATTGCTTGCTGATGATCTTAAGCTACGGAATGTTGTAAATGTTCCTGGGGGTTGTGAGATCATACAGCATGCCCTGGACAGACTCTGACTGGTCTACTTTGTGGCTACTGTCCATTAATCAAGCTAAGTGTTCCGTCCTTCGTATAGGAGTAACTTCCCGCCTTGGAGCTACGTAATCGGTGGGGTCGAACTCCCTTGGCTCCAACCAAGTAGACCTAAGCGTCGCCCATTCCTCGACTTTGCGTTCTGGTGACAATTGAAAGAAGGCCGCAAGTTGTGCATGTATTCAATACGCTACCGACGGTTTCGAGGAGACGTAATCCGTACTTACCGCATTTTAACAAGAAAGGTTGGACCGGATTTGAACTGTCTATTTTGTTCTGCTTGGTTGCCTTGTCTTCGCTGTCATCCCATAAAGCTACACAAGCCGCGTTCTGACCGGATCAGCGCGGAAACTCGGTTAACGCGTAGAGTTATCGAGCGTTGGAACCCGCATCCAGAAAGTGTAGTCAGTGAACCCGTGGTTAAGGGTTTAGAGCGTCAGTTAGACGTTTCTGGGTGTCATCACGAAACCTTTCCTTTCTCATGACCATATACATGTTCCAACTTTGAATTCATATTCTGTCATTCTCCTCACTCTTTGATGTCATAATTCATTTAAATGGCTTTCCTTTCTCTTTATCTTCCAGGTTCTTTCTACTTCTTACTTCCCGTAACCTACACAGCGGGGACTGCAAGTGCAGGGAACGTGGGCAGCATTTGGTTGACCAGGGTGCATTGCCTTTTAGATCTATCAAGACGTCCTGGAACTTTATCATTTCCTGACTCAACGATCCGCTCAAGAAGGAACACAAAGGGATTTTCCTACCGTTCCAGTCCATCTGAATCTGCATGAAAGAAATGAGATTCGGTACCCATTCTTCGTCCGCTCCCAGTTGCTGGAATTCGTGGGCCAATACGGGGAGTAATTTTGGCGGACTCCACATATCGGATCAATTATGGCGGTTACATCCTTTGGCATTGTATGTTTGTGGACGTTAGTGGCCTTAGTGTGAGCTTTTATGCGCTTTTGCCCAATGAGACGGAGGCTACTTACCAAGAGGCAGTGAGAAATACGCTGCAGTTGGCTTCTGGGATTGCCCAAGCTCAAACCTTAGTCCTGGACAGGTGCGCTGCCCAGGTGAAAGCGTTCCGCAAAGCGTATCCCACTGCCAACATACTCTTCTGCGGGGTACATATTATGCGCGACCTGCAGCGGCGTTGCTCTCACCTTCCTTCTGTAACACGGAGAATAAAAGGGCTCTGTTCAACCTATTACGATCGTTGTTGTATACGCACGATTGCGCGCATTATCATCGACTTATGGTGGGTATACCTGCGCGCAGCGTGGTATGCTTCCAGTACCTCCGCCGCGCGTGGATTCCATGGAGGCTTAGCTCGGCGGCGCATTTGGTGGGCCACATGGTGTTATTTGGCTGCGACAGCACCATTGGCGTTGAGAACGAGCATAACCATTTGAAAGAAACTTTGAGTGAGCGGTTTACTCTACTGCACCTGTTTCAGGTGATAGTGCAACGTTGCAGTGTTATTTTGGAGGAAAGGGAAACCGTCCATGCCAGGGATAAGCTTGGCATGTGCGAGTTTGAGCAGGGTTTAAGCAGTGGGCAGGTGATTTTGAGGAAGATGTTGTCATACGCCCAACGGCAGTGGGTGCGTTAGTCTTAGAATTTGCATCCGCAGTGTGAACCCGGAGGGTGGGTATTGGCTTGTGGATGACGGGTGCCTGGGCATGCAACTGTGGTCATTGAGAACGGCGGCGCATGCGTAGGTTGATGTAATCGTCCGTGGCGCATTCCATGTGCGCACATTGTGCCCGCGTATGGATTGCGGAGGAGGTCCCTCCCGAACTGAAGGATGCCTTTGTGTAAAGAAGGAATACACGAGTCGAACAAGCCAGGACCCCATCGCCTCGGCCGGCTATCCAAACCCATCCGCCCTGATTGGGGCGAACAGAGAGCCAACCAGGAGAAGCGGCCAATGAACGCTAGGTTGAAGTTCCTTTATTGGCTGTAAGTTAACCTTTCCAGAGCTTTCCACGGTCGCTTTAAATATACTGTTCACGAACTTTCCAATTTACCTTTATAATGAACGGTGTGATTTGCTAATTCATTCCTGTTGCTCTGCTCGTCCGATTCGTCTTCTCTCTGTCCTGTGGGGGGCCAGCGACTTCGGGTTTGATTGGGAATCAAGCGTCCATTCAGGCGAGGGACGAACACTTCAACTGGCGACGGTTTGAACCCTAATCAATATGTCCATATCGGCTGACGAGCTCAAGGCCATTCTACTGCAGCAACAAGCACAATTTGAGGCATCCCAACTCAGGCTGATCGAAACTCTTACGCGCCAACTCTCAATCCAGACCGGTTCACTGTCTACAAACGTCAAGCCGTCCGCATCGGTAGACGCCATCACTAACAGCATTACCGAATTTTCGTACGACCCCAATGCTGGCCTAACTTTTGAATCTTGGTTCAAGCGTTATGAAGATGTGTTCCGCGTTGAACTTGGAGACCATGATGACGATTGGAAAGTCCGATTGCTGTTAAGGAAACTTGGAACAGCAGAGCACTCCAGGTATGTCAACTTTATTTTGCCTAAGAACGCTCGAGACTGCACTTTTGAGGAGACTGTCAAATGCTTGGGCCAAATATTTGGAGAGCAGTCATCCATCTTCAACACGCGATATCAATGCCTGAAGATCACCAAGGCAGACGCTGATGACTACGTCACTTATGCTGGCATCGTCAATCGCGAGTGCGAAAAATTCGACATCAAATCCATTACGGCAGATCAGTTCAAATGCCTGATTTTTATCTGTGGCCTACATTCCCCACGGGATGCAGAGATTCGCACCAGGCTGCTGAGTAAACTTGAACAAGACCAGCAAATGACTCTACAGACCATAACTACTGAATGCCAACGATTGCTGAACCTCAAGCATGACACGCTTATGCTGGAGAAACAACAATCCACTCCAAGTCTTAGTGTATTAAAAACAACCTCAAAGAAACCGCTTTCAAGTGAAACAGGCCATGAAAAGCCCAGACAGAATACCAAGCCGCCGACTGCCTGTTGGAGATGTGGTGAGTGGCATTTTGTTCGAGTGTGTCCATTCCTGCAACACGTTTGCCACAAGTGTCATAAACGGGGCCATAAGGAAACGCACTGCCGATGCAGACCGCAGTTCAAGCGTGCAAGACATACGCGACCGCATTCAACTGTTCCCAAAAGATTCAGCAACTATAGTACGGTTCAAGCGGCCTACTCTGATGAACATGTGGCTCGCAGAAAGTACATCAGAGTTCACCTGAACGGGCATCAAGTGCGTCTTCAGCTAGATACAGCCTCGGACATCACAATTATCTCCAGCAAAACTTGGCAGTATATTGGTGCTCCGTCAATCAGCCGAACGACACATGTTGCACTTAACGCTTCAGGAGGTCAACTTAATCTCATTGGTGAGCTGCAGTGTGAAATGGTTTTTGGCGCTGCTCGGGCAAACGGTGTCGTGTACATTACGGGCCTGTCACATTTGAATCTTCTTGGACTCGACTGGATCCAGAAGCTCCACCTGTTCGACATCCCCCTGAGTCAAGTCTGCAATACCCTCCGGCTCGGATATACGAGGCCCTCTTCGGAAGGTGACGAACCAAACATCAACCTGATCGAGCAGCTACGAAGGAAATTCCCGTCTGTGTTTTGCAACGACTTGGGAAGATGCACAAAGACCAAAGCAAGCCTTACTCTCAAAGACGGTGCCAAACCCGTATTCCGACCCAAAAGACCGGTACCGTACGCTGCGCTGCCGATTGTTGATGCGGAACTTGATCGTTTGGAGCGGGCAGGCGTCATCCAACCTGTGAACTATTCAGCGTGGGCAGCACCTATTGTTGTCGTCAAGAAGACCAATGGAACCGTTCGTATCTGTGCTGACTACTCTACGGGATTGAATGCTGCTTTGAAAATGCACCAGTATCCTTTGCCAGTCCCAGAAGATTTATTTGCTAAGCTCAGTGGTGGCGCTTACTTTGCAAAGCTAGATTTATCAGATGCTTATCTTCAAATTGAAGTCGACGATGCTTCAAAGGAGTTGCTGGCAATCAATACGCACCGAGGTCTTTACCAGTTCAACCGTTTGCCGTTTGGTGTCAAATCAGCTCCCGCGATTTTCCAACAAATTATGGATACGATGTTAGCTGGGTTATCAGGAGTCGCAGCTTACTTGGACGACATCATAATCAAAGGGGCTACCTTCCGAGAGCTGACGGAAAGACTGGAAGCAGTTCTCCACCGCGTTAACGACTACGGTTTTCACTTGAAAGCAGAAAAGTGCAATACCGGCATGAAGTGTGTAAAGTATCTTGGCTTCATCATCGACAAGGATGGCCGTCGTCCGGATCCTTCCAACATAAGCGCCATAAGACAGATGCCTCCCCCTGACAATGTGGCGAAGCTCAGATCATTCTTGGGGTTGATCAGTCATTACAGCTCTTTTGTGCCCGAAATGCATCGGCTACGAGGACCACTCAATGAACTTCTGGTAAAGGATCGCAAATTTGTGTGGTCTCCTGAATGTCAAGCCGCATTTGATAATGTCAAGTCTATATTGTGTTCTGACCTATCGCTAACGCATTTCAATCCGGAGCTGGAGATCGTAGTTGCTGCTGATGCGTCAGACTACGGAATTGGAGCAGTCATATCCCACATTTTCCCCAATGGTTCGGAGAAAGCTGTGGCGCATGCGGCCAGATCACTCACCCCAGCGGAACGTAACTATGGACAGATCGAGAAAGAAGCTTTAGCCATAGTGTTTGCAGTCAAGCGATTTCACAAAATGCTCTACGGACGAAAATTCACGCTGTTTACTGACCACAAACCCTTGGTCGCAATCTTTGGATCAAAGAAAGGCATTCCGGTCTGCACGGCCAGTCGTCTCCAACGCTGGGCAACTGTTCTACTTGGTTACGATTTCGTCGTCAAATATCAATCTACACACAACATTGGTCAAGCAGATGCGTTATCTCGTTTAATTGGTACACAGCATCAAGAACCAGAGGATTTGGTAGTTGCTCAAATCTCCGTAGAACCCCAAGTACAGCAAGTTGTGTCTGATATTTTCGGTGCCTTACCAGTAACATTCGAAATGGTGCGGGAAGCGACCCAGCATGATTCTACCCTTCAACAAGTGATTGATTTCCACCTCAATGGATGGCCTAAGAGAGTTACAACGCCGGAGCTTCAACAATTCCACCAACGGAAGGAAGCACTATCGGTCGTCAGAAACTGCCTGCTGTTCTCAGATCGCGTCGTCATTCCACACATCCTTCAAGAGAGAGTCCTCCGACAATTTCATACTGGCCACCCGGGAATGAATCGCATGAAATCGCTGGTACGAAGCTATGTGTATTGGCCCTATATGGATTCCCAGATCGAGAGTTTAACCAAGAATTGTCCTCGATGTGCTAGTGTATCAAAACAACCAAGGAAGACGGAATTGCAATCCTGGCGAATACCAACGGAACCATGGTCAAGGGTACACATCGACTTTGCAGGTCCAATTGATGGTCACCATTTTCTCATTGTTGTCGATGCCCACAGTAAATGGCCGGAGGTGATTCCAATGGTGAGAACCACAGCAGCAGCCACTGTCTCCGCTCTTCGACAGATATTTTCTCGTTTCGGTGTTCCCCACACGTTGGTTTCGGACAATGGAACACAATTTACCTCATCTGAATTTGTCGTCTTCTGTCGCAGAAACGCGATCGTCCACGTAAGGTCTCCACCCTTCCACCCACAATCGAACGGGCAAGCGGAACGATTTGTGGATACCCTCAAAAGAGCTTTGCTAAAGATGAAGGGGAAGGTACCTTGGAGGAGATTCTTGACACATTTCTGCTGACGTATCGCACAACTCCGAATCCGCAGACACCGAACGCCCTATCTCCGGCTGAAACTTTGTTTCAAAGGAAAATCCGTGTGCCGCATGATGCCCTCAGGCCCAGGAAGGATCAGTTGCTGTCCCGCAACTATCAGATGGAGCGACAATTCAACATCCGACACGGTGCTCGGAAGCGAAGCTTTAATGTTGGTCAACAAGTTCTGGCGAGAGACTATCGCATCCACTATCCTAAATGGGCTATGGGCCATGCGCTATACAAACGTGGTAACGTGATCTACGGTATCCAGGTTGGGACGGCAGTTTGGGTAAGACATGCCAATCAGCTGCTAGCGGCACGGACTGGGGAACAAGTGCAACAACAAGTACCAGCAACGCAGTTACCTCTGGACATCCTGGCCGACGCCAGTGAAGCGACGACTCCCCCGCATGCCCCAACACCGCAAGCACAAAATTCACCCCGAAACCTAGCAGCACAGCGGCCGAAGCGGCGACGCAAATTCGTATCACCCATGCAAGTCAACCCCAAGCTGAAATCGTACAACACAACTCAAAGGGGGAAGTGTTAGGAAGGAATACACGAGTCGAACAAGCCAGGACCCCATCGCCTCGGCCGGCTATCCAAACCCATCCGCCCTGATTGGGGCGAACAGAGAGCCAACCAGGAGAAGCGGCCAATGAACGCTAGGTTGAAGTTCTTTTATTGGCTGTGAATTAACCTTTCCAGAGCTTTCCACGGTCGCTTTAAATATACTGTTCACGAACTTTCCAATTTACCTTTATAATGAACGGTGTGATTTGCTAATTCATTCCTGTTGCTCTGCTCGTCCGATTCGTCTTCTCTCTGTCCTGTGGGGGGCCAGCGATTTCGGGTTTGATTGGGAATCAAGCGTCCATTCAGGCGAGGGACGAACACTTCACTTTGTGCTACCACTGTACAAGGGCAAAGGCAACACGCAATGTTACACGAAGTATCGTGGCATCAAAGTGCTGAGTTGTGTGTGCAGGGTGATTACCCTATTCATGCTAAACCGCCTTGTCAGTGAGGTTGTGGAACGTAACGCGGCGGATGATCAGTGTACCAGGCCGCTTTTCGAGGTGGTCGTTAATTGTGCAAAAGACATGTCTGACCGTCATAGCACTCATAAACGGATGGTGGATTGCGCTCACTCTGTAACGGTCTCCGCAGTTTGACATGCACACGGTGTGATAGACAGGCGCATAAATGTTGGTGGATTGCAAGAGTTGCTGGCGGAAACTGACGAACGTCTAAAGTCTCGGCTTTGAGGGGTATCTGCAAGCGCTGAATATTTTGCAGGATTATGGGTATGCTATCTTCGTAAGTTGGATTAAAACATTCTTTGCCATACGTCGAAGTGTTCAGAAGGTATACCGCTGTGCACCGGAAACCTACCGCCTTTATTTGGGAAGCCAGTGTGAGAATGAGGTACACATCATTGCAGCGGGCTCCCTTGAAATATCGACAAACGGTGAGGAGCGCACTCAGGAATCCATTTCAGGCCCGTCAACTTCCGCTATGGTAGTCTTTGCGGGGGATCCTGGGCATCGCAGAGGTACGCGTAAGGAATCCCTGATCCACCTTGTGGTAAACCCGGCTCCCGGTACCAGCGCCATATGCCGTACGCAGTTTCCTTGGCTGCCGACCACTACGGCCGCAAGACGCATAACGCAGATTAAACGTGTTGCAACTATGAGTGCAATTTTCCAGGTTCAAACAGCGGTTTGTGAATTGTGTCTGCAGGAAGAGGACTTTGGAACGCGTTGTGGCAATTTTTCCTCGGTAATATTTGACTGATGCTCATGGTGGTTCCATCGAAATAGTGCATCATGTCTTGCTGAGGATACGTATGAATGCAACTACCTGGGATTTTGTCTCATCGCCCTTGGGATCGAAGACGAGATCATGAGCCATATAACAAAAGCTAGAATTTGATTGGCCACAATTCGCCACCCATGGCGGCGGCGTGACGTCCCTTTCCCCCTGGCGGGTAGAGTGTACAATGCAGCTGCAAGTTCGAGCTTACTGCACGGTTGAGAATCCTGACCCATTAGACCAGGAGATATAAAGAGGCTAGTTAAGTTCGACGATCGGTGTCTTCCCAGTTTGTCTCACATCTGGTGGTAACAAGGAGTGAGCAGCGAGCATGTTTGTCGGGTTGTTTAGGGCACAGGAAAAGGAACTGAACCGCTCTGCACCGTCATTTCAGGCACCAAGCTGCGATGGCTCGGCCACGTGTTGCGCATGCTTACCTACCGACTCCCGCGACGTACGTTGTTTGTTCAGATGGCGTGTGGATTGACCAAGATGTGGGATGGCCCAGCGATGGCTTGCTTGAGAGAAATGAAGGCCCTCACTTCGGGGTTGGCCTTGGTTGGGTCCATCGGTGGCCATCTACAGAAGAACGCCAAGAGTTACTTCGGCGCCCACTGTGTCTGTCCGAAACTGGGATCATGGACTCACGGTGTTCTTGATTCAATGGTGCCAGGTTTGCCCTCGTTATCGGTTGCGCACCTCCGGAGACTGCTGCTGAAATAATTGGTGAAGCTGTGGTGGGAATCATTCTAGGCTTCAAGGCTGTGGGTTTCGGTTCATTGGGTTCCTGCTAACAGCCTTTTGTGTTCTACTCTGCCGGTGTATGCATTTTGTTTGAAATGCTTGTGCGTAAATCTGTTCCGTAATAGTTGTCCGTCTCCACGTAACCTTTGCCCCCGCTATGTAATCCGTTGCACTTCCGGCGCATGTATTGTCTGTCCACGTGTGGCTTTGAGAATTGCTCTCTATCCGGGCTGCCTATATGATTGATACGACACCATTGCTCAGCCTCCACGAAACCCCCGCCGCCGCCTATACACTCCGTTGCACCTCCGGTAAGTGTACCGGATGTTCCCATGTTGCTTTTAGAACTGCCGTGTATACCCTCCACCTTTATGGGTAAAACGACACCATTGCTCAGCCTCCACGAAACCTTTATCCCGCCAATGTACTCCGTTGCGCCTCCGGTAAGTGTATTGGCTCTTAACAAGTGGCTTTTAGACCTGATGTCCATCCGTGCTGCCTATATAGGATTATCCGTCACTACTGTTTAGCCTCCACGAAACCTTTGCCACCGTATTTATACCCCGTTGCGCCTCCGGTAAGTGTACCGGCTGTGCACATGTTGCTTTTAGACCTCATATTTATCCATGCTGCCTATATCAGGTTTTCCGCCACTACTGCTTAACCTCCACGAAACCATTACCGCCACCTATATATTCCGTTGCACCCCCGGTAAGTGTATCGACTGTACACCCGTGATTTTTGAACTACTAGCTATTCGTGCCGCATATCTGGGGGACACGACACTATTGCTCAGCCTGCACGAAACCATTCTTTCAGACCCCCTGTCTATTTGTGGTGCCTACTTCAACGGTCCGCCACAACTGGTCCACTTCCACATAACATGTGACGCAGCAAAACTAGGCTGCTGAACTGTTCGCTGAGCTTGGCAATTTTGTTGCAAACGTTTCGTCACCAACCGAGATGACATCATCAGTGCGTAGTGACGTGGCGTGCAATAGTGTACAGTAGCGTAGAGGAGCCTCGGTGAGAGTGCGCTGAGCGTGGTGTGCGTGCGTTTTTATACCGTCGTGGTTGGCCGTGGATCAGAGCAATCCTATTGGTTGGGACTTCGATCCGTGTTCAGCTTGCCTAATGGGCAGATGACCTTTGACCTCGCCTCCTTTGTCCGCTTGCTCCTGCGAGCGAATCTCCTGCCAGTTCGGGTTGTCTAGTCACACGTTCCACCGGATTCAATCGATCGAGTTGTCGGTCCTTCATCAGTAGCGTGGCGTATACTGCGTCAAGTTCGATGTGTCGATTGATTGCATGCGTTGTAGAGTACCAGGCTTCCGAAAATTCCCTCTCGTGTTTTGTACTTCCATGTGCTAGGATCTTTACATTCTCTAGATCGAAATGATGACCTTCTTGATATTCATGCGCAGAAACCAATGAGTGTGGATCGTGCCTTCTGACGGCCGCCTTGTGTTCGGTGATTCGTGTGCAAAGTTGCCTTCCAGTTTGTCCGACGTAGATTTTATCGCAGTCACTGCATTTAGCTGGTAGATGACATTGCATTGTTTGGCTTCATTGACTTTTCCTTTGGTATTTGAGACTAATTTCCTTAGGGTGGCACTTGGCTTGTGAGCCACATAGATTCCATGTGATTGTAGCAATCTACCTGTTAGTTCGGAGACGTTCTTGATGTAGGGCAGCACTATCCGTTTGTTTGGTTGATCAGATGGTTGCTGCTGTTGCTGAGGCATTCGTTTCTTTAAGCTTCTTCTGATGAAACTCCTCGGATAACCGTTGCTTTTAAACACCCGATATAGGTGATGCTCTTCCTGTTTCCGCGATTCGGCTGTGCTGCAGTGCGTTTCCGCTCTCTTGAACAAGGTTTGAATGCAGCCCTTCTTGTGATTCACCGGGTGATTGCTGTAGTAGTTTAATATCTGAGCCGTATGCGTTTTCTTCCGATATACGCACGTTTCCATAGATCCATCTGTATTCCTAGTAACCAGTACATCCGAAAATGGTAGCTTGTTATCCTCCTCTAATTCAAGCGTAAATTTGATATCCTCGAATGTGCTGTTGAGCAATTCATGAGTGGCCTGTACTCTGTTCCGTTTTACGATGACAAAGGTGTCGTCCACGTATCGTATCCAGAGTTTCGGGCTGATGGATGGCAGTGCAATGCGCTCCAATTTCTGCATTACGGCTTCCGCAATGAGCCCCGAAATTGGTGATCCCAGGGGTGTTCCTCTCAGTTGCTGGTATACTCGTCCATCAAAGCGGAAATAAGTGGTCATGCAGAGGTTTAGGAGTTCCCAAAAGCTTTCAGGTCGTATGGTTGTTGTGAGGCTTCGTTTGAATCCAGTGGAACGTGTGACTAGACAATCCGAACTGGCAGGAGATTCGCTCGCAGGAGCA